GATGCGTTTTTGATGCATTCTTAAACTGCTTTCCTCTGCATCTGCTCCTCACTTGGTGTGAACTAGCCCTCAAGGTTGCAGTGCGCTTATTTCAGCTCTCAAATGGCTGATCACATGTGCAGCACCATGGCAACTGCAATCCAAATAGAGGCCAAGATGGCACCTCCCTTGGCTGTAAGGGATAGGACGTTGGAGTTCCTCTTTAAACGGGCAGCACACTGTTGTAGCTATGGCGCAGCCTGGATGATGCGTTTCTTATGCATGTTGATCGCTCATTGCTATGACTGGTGATCTTCTGCTATTCGAATGTCAATGGAGTGCACTTATCACACTTTTGCAGGACTGTTTTGGAGGTATTTCTGGATCTACAATGGAGCCATTGAATTGGTATCAGGCCTCAATGGAATACATATTGGGAGGCCTATAGCAGGGGTAGGACAACTCCAGCCCGTCAGCTGCGAAGCAACTACAAATACCATCAGGCACTGCAAGACTAAGCCACAGACATGGAGGCATAATGGATTTATATAGTTTACCACAGCTGAAGGGCCAGCGTTTATAGTGGCTTATAGTCTGCCATGTATTACTCTGCTCTTTATTAGAGATACATATACCCAACAATTCCTTTTCTATATACTATAAATGCTGGCCATACACTGGGTGAAATTCAGCCCAGCTTGACAAAAAACGATTCTCTAGTCTAGTTTCGTCATAGGAGCCAGTCCGAAAATCCTCAGCCGAACAGTTACTGCAGCCAATCAGCTGCAGTCATTGTTCGGGTATTCTGACAGCGGCACACCCGTCTCTGTCAGCATACAATAACTCAGTTGGGGGGAAATGAATTGTATTTTCTTGTTCAGCCCCATAACCCACACTGCATGGTCAGCTTTAGTTAGCACTGCTCTGCATAGGCCACCTCAGTAATTCATGCCGGAATGTGTTGTAACTTTGTTGGCTGACAACACATGTTTTTTTTAACATAGAAAGTGCGAAATTTTTGCATGGGGGAGTAAAATATCTCTCATATAACATGACTTAATGATGATTTCGGTGCTCCCTTTTCACTGAAATCTTCCAATGGGGATTCTTGGTCCAGTGTAGCCGTCTAAGAGGGGATTTCCCTCCCTTTGTGGAGATTGTCTCTAACTTCCTGCTACGCCCTTGGGATAGGAAGTGAAAGGAAATCTCTTCCATTTGACACAGACGGCCAAATATAACCGGAATGGGGTTCTGAACATTTCCTACTCTATCTATAACAAAAGAAAGTTTCGGCTGTAAATACACCTAAAGCAGAATTTTTTATTTTATTTTAAAGTTTGTTTGTTTAAATCCCGTCTTGTGACATTTCTTTTCTAAATGCCCATGGCACATGCACAGCACGCTGCGGGCAATTGGAAAATGGCGAGAATAAAGCCAGGATGTGCAGGAGTTCCATCATTGCTGGCCACTAGGGCTGCATGTAATGATTATTTTCATAATCAATTAGTTGGCCGATTATTTTTTTCGATTAATCGGATAAAAAAATGAAATAAATCCCATCTGTAATATAAAATAAAAAATACACACAAATGCCGTGTTACAAACAAAAAAGTTTACTTCAGAATAAAACTGCATACACAATTTTTTGCAATTGCACTGGATCGCACGGCATAGCTGTAACGATCACACTATGGATGGGAGGCGCGTTTGGGGTGCCGTTGAAATGAATGGCACTGCAACGCACCTCCCGCAGCAGAATTTGTCAGGCCGAAAACGACTTTCTTCCCACCTTGTATAATTGTATTGTAAGCACACGGTGCTGGAATAGCTTCAGCCAGGGAATGACAGCTGACAGTGGCAAGATTCTGTAGACGGCAGCTGAATGTAAATACAGCAGGTAGTGGGCGGGTGCAATAGCCAGCCTGCTATCGGCCATTTCAAAAGTGCAATAGACAATAGCAGGCTGGCTATTGCACTCGACCACTGCTTGCTGTGCTCTCCTCCCAGCATGTAGGAGAGAGCTAGGGGATCCAACCAACTAATCGATAATGAGAATAGTTGACAACTAATCTCGATTAATTGATTAGTTGGCGGCAGCCCTACTGACCACCCGAAGGAGTTACATCATCACTGGCCACCCAAGGGCCAAAGAAGAGCACCGGGAACCCGAAGAAGCGGTGGAGAAGATGCCGGCAGACAGAGCAACGAGGGACAGCTCTAAACTGTCGGCGGTGAAAGGCAAAAAGCCAGGCAAGTCTGCCGTATTGCATTCCTGCACAATACAACGAGAGTTCTGAGTGATTAATTAAAGCAACACCTGTAAATATCCGCAGACTTTCTATTTGTCTTACGAGGTTCACATTCTCACACTGAAAATAAATAAATAAATTTTTAAATCACCGACTTTGAACAAGCATGCAGCAAGTGAATTCAGATGTGTATACCTGTACCAAGTCAGAGACTCAATTTACTGAAGTCATTGGATCTTCACAACAGCCAGGCACCTAGCATTCCCATGGGACCAGCACTGGCAGCCCATGTTTTTTTCTCTGCACAGGTATTACATTCATTTGCAAGAAGACTTTTGGGAAGGAGAGATGCAAATCGGAGGGGAAAAAAAAAAAAAGAAATGCAACCAAATAAAGTGGTCAGACAGTGGTAGACGTGAGCTAATGTCCCATAACGATTGCCCTTGCCAAGATAACCCGGGATTTTTTTTACAGCTGTTTAATACTTGGTAGGCCACACAAGTCCCATCAGAAAAAAAAATTATTGAAGTCCTTTTTAACCAGCATCTTTTAAGCTTTTTAACTGCCCCAAAAAAATACCTCTACTGCCGCCCACCCTACCAAATGGTGCTCTGCTGATAAGGAACCACGTCCTAAGTCTCCTGTTTCCCCCTTGCAGGGCTTAGTGGTTCCTCCCACCGACCTCTGCTGATCTACTGAGCCTTGTAGTGATGTAGGAGTTGGAGGAAGGAACCAAAACATGGTGGGGGGTGGAATGCTAAAGACTTTGGTGGAGGCAAATGACTCATGGAGGTGCTATTTTCTTTAAAGTCCATTTCCACCTTTGTAAGTGTTAAGCATTTATCGTGGTAATGTAGGAGGTGCAGTGATGATGTATACATGTGCACATTTTCATGACTCACATGGCAGGCTTTCTTCATTTTTTTTAATGAAAGTTTTATTAGGCCTGAAGCCTAAAAACTCAAAATGTTCTCCACAGGAAACTCAGTCAGACACCAAGGTCCCCTTTAATGAATTAAGGTTCACCGCGGCGTGGTATGCACTTTGCTGCGCCTTCCTGTAACACCTAGATCTGAATAAGCTCCTCAAGGTCTGAGCTACCTGTGGCAACCTAGAACATTGCAGTGCACAAGTTGTCATCGTTCCAGGCCTGGGGCAGGAAAGAAAAATAAACCTCCAATGGGCTGCTACAGCTGAACTGCCATTTACAGGTGTCCTAATTACACGCTAAGCCCTTTACAACGCTGCAATCAGTCCCGGGTTCTCACGCCGCAGAAACAGAAAACACACAAACAGAATGGAAGGCTGCACAGAGGATACACAGAGGGAAGATGATGTGTGAGGGCAGGCGACTGTGTTTGCAGTGTAATGAGTCAGTCCTGAGAGAGAAGAAAAGGGAATGAATGAGAGGAGGTGACACGCCCCGGGATCTCCGCCACCCATTGGAGTACACACATGACATGAATGAGCAGCAACCGCAGACCTGGGGACCCCCTACTGACCAGAAGGCCCTGTCTGCATTCCACAACACAGAGCTGCCATCACAATGCCATTACATAGGTTGGACGTGTGTCCGCTACCATAACCCTCCCCAGTGTGACTACACAACCCAGCCCAGTATGCAGGGCTCATGTACACAATGATAGCCAGATACACGGTGAACGCAGAAGGAAATGGGGACATTCCACTGTGTGTATAGACGGAGCCGTCTTATCTCACCGCAGAGAAGGAGAAATATATTATGTACAGAGGATATTTTTTAAACCCAGTCTCGTGCACCCCCAAGATCCCACAGTCTCCCATCTCTCCCCCATCCTTCATGATCACCTCAACCATGGACCACACCACTGCATGCCACCCCACAATGCACTGCATTCCATGTCACCATGCACCCCCGCATCATACACCGCACACCCTCCCCTTCACCCCATTCTGCTCTGTGTGTTCCCCAAATTTCTTACATATCTCCCAGCTGCCTCCGTCCTCAGGTAGGTGTCTGTATGGGTATCACTGTGGGCGGTAGTGTCAGGCATCAGTCTATGTAGGTACTTGTGCAGACCCCCTAGGTAGGTACTCACATGTGTAATGCTTCCCCAGGGGGTAGGTACACCCTCCTGCAGATACTCACCTGTGCAGGGCTTTTCCTCCCCCAGTGGGTAAGTGTCCACCTGGACAGATAATCAGCTTTGTAGTCCCAGGAGGTCTGAGCAGTGAGCACTCACCTATACAGAGCCCCCTATAGGTAGGTACCCCGATAGGTGTTCACCTGAGCAGAAATCCCTGAGGTATGTTGTCACCAGTGTAGTGCCCCCTCCACATAGGTAGTTACCCCCATCATATACAGTATTTACCCCCCGCATCCATGCAGGAAGGTACCCCCCGCATCCATGCAGGAAGGTACCCCTGAATGCAGGTACCCCTGAATGCAGGTACCCCTGAATGCAAGTAGGTACCCAAGCATATGTAGGTACCGCCTGAATGCAGGTAGGAACTCCAACATATATGTAGTTACCCATGAATGCAGGTAGGTGCCCCAACATATATGCAGGTAGGTACCCCCTGAAAGCAGATAGGTATCCCAGCATAGATGTAGTTACCCTTGAATGCAGGTAGGTGCCCCCACATATATGCAGGTAGGTACCCCCACATGTATGCAGGTAGGTGCCCCCACATGTATGCACGTAGGTACCCTCCTGAATGCAAGTAGGTGGCCCAGCATATATGTAGGTACCCCCTGAATGCAAATAGGTCCGCCGGTAGGTGTGCTCTCACCTGAGTGGTGACGTCCTCGGGCCTCCAGTGCGGTCGGAGCTCTTTCAGCAGTACCATGGCCCCCTCCCGATAGCCGCTCTCCTCCAGCACGGTGACATCCAGGCGGGGCACGTCGGGGGAGCCCGGGGGAAGGTGAATATAATTAGCCATGAGCGGAGGACGAGGGAAACAGCCGGCCAGGAAAGCCCGTCCGAACCGCCCGCACACCGCACCGCCCGTCCTGGGGAGACTGTCCGGGGAAAAAGCCGGGGTTGGGGGCTGGGTGAGCGGCCTGCCTGTGTATGTGCGGCCGAGCTCCGGTCGTCTGTCTATATTTCTCTACGGTCGGTATTGCTCCGCTGTCTCTCTGGTCGGTAACGCTCTGTCTCTCTCCGGTCCCCTCTCAGCTCTGTCTGGGCGCCTCGTCTGTCAGGATGGAAAATTCCACCGCCACACCCCCCACTGACACTCCGGTGTCGCCTGATCCCTGACGTCATGGCCCCGCCTACAGAGGGAGGACCCGAAGAGGAATCGTCAGTGCAATAGGAAGGCCGGACCACGTGACCGTCGCCATCACCCGGCAGCTCACAGCTCCTGTGACTAGGGTACCATATACACTATAATACACCGGAATGTCACCCAGTCCTGTCACTGGGACTGGGATACCGTATGTACCACAATATACTGGAAAATCAACTTGGCTTGTCACTAGGCTACCATATATATCATAATACCCGGGATGTCACCCAGGCCTGTGGCTAGAGTTTCTAATACATCATTCCAGGTCTGTCCCTCTGGTACCATAAATGCCATAATACACTGGACTCTAATTCTTGTACTCCACAGGTGAACCATATTTACCATATTATACTGGAATATACCCAGACCTATCAATGGGGTACCATACTGTAATGTCACCTAGGCCTGTCACTGGGGTACCATGTAATCTCTGCTGTGTCATATATATTGGAATATCACCCAGGATAATCTCTGCTGTACCGTATATATTGGAATATAATTTATTGGGTTTACCGTATATACTTAAATATCATTCAAATCTGTCATTGGGGTACCGTATATCCTAGATTATCACACAGGTCTGTCACTGGGGTACCGTATATTCTGAAATATCACCCATGTCTGTCATTGGGGTACCGTATATCCTAGATTATCACCCATGTCTGTCACCTGGGTACCGTATATTCTGGATTACCACCCATGTCTGTCATTGGTGTACCGTATATTCTGGATTACCACCCATGTCTGTCATTGGGGTACCGTATATTCTGAAATATCACCCAGGTCTGTCACTGGGGTACCATATATTCTGGAATATCACCCAGGTCTGTCACTGGGGTACCATATATTCTGGAATATCACCCAGGTCTGTCACTGGGGTACCATATATTCTGGATTACCACCCATGTCTATCATTGGGGTACCGTATATTCTGGATTACCACCCATGTCTGTCATTGGGGTACCGTATATTCTGAAATATCACCCAGGTCTGTCACTGGGGTACCATATATTCTGGATTACCACCCATGTCTATCATTGGGGTACCGTATATTCTGGATTACCACCCATGTCTGTCATTGGTGTACCGTATATTCTGGATTATCACCCATGTCTGTCACTGGGGTACCATATATTCTGGAATATCACCCATGTCTGTCATTGGGGTACCGTATATTCTGGATTATCACCCATGTCTGTCACTGGGGTACCATATATTCTGGAATATCACCCATGTCTGTCACTGCGGTACCGTAAAATCTGGATTATTACCAGGCCTGTTGCCACATATACTGTACATTATATCCTAATCTATCACCTGGGAACATTGAGCCTCAGGGCCAAAATATTGGAGTTTTTAGGGGTGCAGTCTGGTGACAGGCTCGTGGGTGAAGGGAGATATTCCCCAAAACGAGGAGAAAAATGAGGGGAACAGATCGGGTGGCAGCAATCCATAGGTGATAAAATGCAGGACCATAATTGCAGATCTGTCTGCACCCCTCCCTACACCCAACCTCTGCTCCAGGCCATCCAGGTTCATGCAGGATTGCCCCGGATAGTCCAGTCTTTGTATCCCGTGCCCGGCTCTTTTATTGCAATGCAGAGCGTCCAGTTTGAGCAAAACAGAATCTCCCTTTGCACCCACTCTCCCTGTGGTACCCAGGACCTGCTCTATGGTACCAACAATGGTAACAGTGTCTCATTCATATATATATATACACTGTAACAATGATGTTATAGAGTAGTTTGTTTATTACACATCTATCGACCTGCACACAATGATAGTTCAAGGAGACCTGTAAAGTAACAAGTTGAGAGGCTGCAGCAGAGGCTGATCTAAGTCAGACGTTTGTGAACATAGCTAAGAACTGCACAGGAACTGGGATTTACATTACTTTATCATCTCTGAGCCAGAATCTGCCTGGATGATGCCTGAACAAAGATGGTGCTGTTCTTGTCAAGAGAAGAGCAGGCAAAGTCATTGTCAGGGGGAGTACTGTGATCTCTGTGAGAAGTACATAACATGATACATATCTGATGCTAGGCCCACTTTAAATGTTTTGCAGTGGGGCCCCATGACACATAGTAGTGGCCCTGATTAGGGCATATGGGCTTCAACAAACCTTTGTACTCCAGAGTACACGTAATATCACGTGTATGTCCTTCAAAGTGGGAGACCCTTGTTATATGTGAGATTAAATCATACTTAGGATGATATCACAGGTCTATGATCTTAGCAGACACTTAAAGCTGAACTCCGGGATACATAAATATTGTCCTCATACAAGAGGCATGTGGAATCCTCCTTGAATCTTGGTGAGCTTTGTGTATTTCTTCCAGATCTGTGCAGTGATCCCGTGTGAGACTTCCTGTAATAAAGACGAGTCAATGCTGCTCTCTCTCTCTCCTTGTGCAGGGTGACTGGTCTTATCTCCACTTGTTCACACCATATACAGGGGGGGGGGAATTTGTCAAGACTGGAGCAGGCAGAAACTGGAGCAGCTGTGCACGGCTACCAATCAGCTTCTCTCTTCAGTCTGTTCAGGTAAGATTTGAAGAAGTTGATTGGTTGCCGTGCACAGCTGCTCCAGATTTTGTCAGTTCTGATAAATTCCCTTCAGTGTGTTCCAGCGCGGTTAGCTGCTGGAACGCACTGTATCGCATCCTGGCCGGCTTCCTGCGTTCAGGGGTGGGTAACAGTGCATTGAAGTCAATGGCATTGCAGCCACGCCCCCCGCCCAGCAGTGCAATTGCATGCACCAGAACGCGTAGCATATCAATGCCTGCGTTCCGGTCCAGTGTGATCTGAAAACATGCTGCAAGCCCTATTTTTTCAGATTGTACTGAACCGGAACGCAGGCATGGATGTACCACACATTCTGGTGCCGGCAATAGCCGGACCAGGGCTGTCAAAGACAGCTGCCGCAAGGTCCCCAGTAGGCTGCCTGAGGTCCCCAGCAAGCGTGGGACCTCAGGCAGCCGAATCTATTTAAAGTGCTGCTATCGGCACTATGTATTTTTATGAGTACAAGTACTTGTGAAAATGCCTAGTATCGGCACCGATACTAGTATAGTAACAGTAACTCTAACCCTAATGCTAACCTTAACCCAATATTAATCTTAATGCTAACCATAACACTTACCCCAAAGCTAATTCTCACACTTCCCCTAATGCTAACCCTAACCCTAAATTAACTAACTTGCTTACTCTAGCCCTAATGCTAACTATAACACGTTCTCAATGCTTATCCTGATGCTAACTCTAACATTTACCCTAATGTTAACACTAACCCTAATGCTAACCTTAACACTTACCCAATGTTAACCCTAAAGCTAACTCTAACCTTAATGCTAACCCTAAAACTGACCCTAATGCTAAGTCTAACCCTAATGACAACTCTAGCCCTAATGCTAAGCCAAACCTTAAATGCTAACACTAACCCTAATGCTAACTATAACATGTTCCCAATACTAACCCTGATGCTAACTCTAACATTTACCTTAATGCTAACACTAACCCTAATGCTAACCCTAAAGCTACCTCTATCCTTATGCTAACGCTACGATTGACCCTAATGCTAACTCTAACCCTAATGACAACTCCAGCCCTAATGCTAACCTTAACACCTATTCAATGCCAACTCTATATCTGCAAAAAAAGACATGAAGATCATGGCTGCAGTGGTATAATCACTTAAACACTAGGATCTCCAGCTACGTCTTATGGTCCTGAAGTGGTTAAATAATTCCACAATGAGCTGGAAACATGACATTAAGTATTGAGGAACAGAGGAAAGCTAAACCTAACCTTTACATTAATTCTAACCCTAAAACACACATGTATGCTAACCCTAACCTTAATGTTAATGCTAACCCTAACACTTACCCATTGCTACCCCTAATGCTAACTAACATTTACCCTTATTCTAACCCTAACTCTAATGGTAACCTTAATGCTAACTTGAATCCTAACTCTAACATAACACTAACCCTAACATTTACACTAACGCTAATACTAACCTTAACTCTTATGCTAACCCTAATGCTAAATCTAGATCTAATGCTAACAATAACACTAACCCTAATGCTAACTGTGTCCCCTGGAGGAAGGGTCCCTGAGTGGCCCCGAAACCTTGGCAATGTTGACCTGTGTGACATTTTTGCAATAAACAATACTTTGCCTTTGGAATGCTGGTGACCTATCTTCATATCTGTAATGCTAACTCTAACACTAAACCTAACTCTAAGGCCTTGTTCACACCAAGCGCGGAGCAGATCCGGACCAGAGCAGGTGCAGACCGGATCAAAACTGCGTCCAATGTATTCCTATGGTATTTTGACCTCCAGTTCACATTGCAGCGTGCGGATCCACTAACGCAAAAACGCATCAAAAACGCATCAAAAACGCATGCAAGTGCCTGAAAGCCCATGTTAAACTTAAAAACTTTTTTTTTTAACCAAAACCGCATCAAAAACGCGTCTAAAACGCGGCACAACCCACTGCACTGCGTGTGCAGAAACCTGACAGGATCTGGTCTGCATTTGGTGTGAACAAGGCCTAAGCCTTATTGGTCATGGTGGGAAAAATAATTCTAGAGTCACAGAAGGAAGGAAATGTCCATCCAACTCCAGAAGGCCTAAAGGGAGGATTTGAATGATTTGATTGGGCTGGTGTGTGCAACTAGGACAGTCCAGTCTTCATATACAAGTGAACATGAAGTAAGATCTAAGAGAGCAGCCAGGGAAAGACAGAAATCT